TTGGGACAACATGAAACAAAACAACATCCACATAAATTGGGTTCCAGAGGGAGAGGAAACTGAGCAAGGAACAGAAAACCTGTTTGAAGAAATGATAGAAAACTTCCCCATATAAGTAAAAAACACACAAATCCAAGAAGCTAACTGGGTCCCAAGCAAAATGAACCCAAAAGACCAACGCCAAGGCATATTATAATCAAATTGGCAAACACCAACGACAAAGAATCTTAAAAGCGGCCAGAGAAAGTTACATACAATGAACCCCATCAGACTAGCAACTGATTTCTCAAAAAATCAACTGATTACACAAAAAATCAGCAAAGAAACATCAATCCTAAATGATTTACTAGACTAATTGAAATCAGAATATTTCACCCCAAAGCCACAGAATATACATTCTTCTCAAGTGCACATGGATTCATTTTCAAAGATAGACCATTGTTGGGTCATTGGCAAAGTCTCTTCAAATTCAAGAAGATAGAAATCACATCAAGCATCTTCTCAGATCACAGTGGCATAAAACTGGAAATCAACTACAATAAAAACAATATAAAAAAATCAAACACATAGACTAAACAGCGTGCTATTAAATAACGATTGAGGTACCAGAGAGATCAAAAAAGAAATAAAATACATCCTGGCAACAAATGATAACAAAAAACAATACAAAAATCTATGGGCCATAGAGAAAGCAATCTTGAGAGGGAAGTTCATAGCTCTACAAGACTACTGATAAAAACAAGAAACAATGGTAATAAATTACCTAACCCTACAACTCAGAGTTAAAAGGAGAGCAACAAGAAAGCCCATTATAAGCAAAAGGAATAATAAAGATCAGAGCGGAGACAAACGATTTTGAGACAAAAATACAACAACAACAAACAAAAGAAACAAAACGCAAAAAAAAAGAACAAAACCAAGAGCTGGTTCTTTGAAAGGATAAACAAGATTGATGAACCTCTAGCCAGGCTCACCAAGAAGCAAAGAGAGAGGACCCAAATAAACAAAATAGAAATGAAAAAGGAGAAATAATACCACAATACAAAGGATTTCTAAAAAAATCCAACAAACTGGACAATCTGGAGGAAATGGACATGTTTATAGAAAAATAAAACCTTCCAAAACTCAATCAGGAAGAATCTAAACATCTCAATTGATCAATAAGTATGGAAAAATTGAAGTAGTCATCAAAAAGCATTCGGCAAACAAAAGCACAGGGACAGGCGACTTCACAGGGGAGTTTTACCAAACATTCAAGGAAGAACTAAAACCTATCCTCCTCAGACTATTCCAAAAAAAATTCAAGAGGAAGGAAACCTTTCAAGTTCCTTCTATGAAGTCAGCATCCCCTAATACCAAAACCAGACAAAGACAACACAATGAAAGATAATTACAGGCCAATATCCCTCATAGACATAGATGCCAAAATCCTCAACAAAATTCTAGCAAATAGGATCTACCAGTACATCAGAAAGATCACATTCAAGCAATCCATCATTTAGTGTATTCCTATGCTTTGTTTTGGAATACTTAAAGCATAAAACTTTGTAATACTTAAAGCATAAAACTTTGTAATACTTGAAGCATAAACACTAGTTTAATAGCTTCCTGGAGAAGTAACAATGAAGCACGTGATAATCACTACATAAAAAGATTATAGATTTATAAATAGAATCTTGTTCTAATATTCTTATAATGACTGAATGGAGTCACTGAAAAACTTAACTATTATATTCCCCTTAGAATTTAGTATTGAGTACAAAAGTTACACTAGTTTTCAGATAATTAGGAAAATTATTAAAAGTTTTAATATCAAGTAGAAGTCAAACGGATTTATTTCTCAAGTTAGTAATCAAATGAAGGATTTTTTACTTGACCCAAACAGAGAGTGGCTTATTCATAAAGTAGGAATTAAATGTGAAAAAATATAAAATACAAAAAAATAAGCTAGTTTCTTTTTTTTATTTATTAAATTTTTACAGAGAGGAAGAGAGAGATGATAGAAAGCTAGAAACATCAATGAAAGAGAAACATCGACCAGATGCCTCTTGCACACCCCCTACTGGGGATGTGCCCGCAACCAAGGTACATGTCCTTGACCGGAATTGAACTTGGGACCCTTCAGTCCACAGGCCGAAGCACTATCCACTGAGCCAAACCGGTTTCGGCTAAAATAAGCTAGTTTCTGATATTTTAAAGAATGTTTACCTTAAGTATTAAAATGACCAAGTATAATAGTAGATAATTATATAAAAGACTTTTCAAATGAAGTTCTCACATCAAAAAATGTAAAACTGTTTCAAAACAATGAATATAAAACTAACCAAAGACTATTAACAGTAGATGCATAATAGGCAAATTTTTTATTTTCCTTGACATTGAGAACAACGGGAAACATGCTTGAAATATACGGCATTTAGTTTAAAATATTTAAGACATACACACATATATAAAGGATTATAGCATTATTCCTTTTTAAAATCAGCATTAGTAAGGATTGTGCACTGGCTATAACAATAGAAAAAATCATAATACCATTTGACATTGTAACACTGCAATAGAAAACAACCTACAAGTTTCTCTGATATGTCCTGATTAAACAGATTAATCTTTAAAAAATCATACTAATTAACATCCTTAAAATTAGAAAATTTTTCAATATGAATACTTAAACTTCAGTTTAAACTGTGCCTATCCTAAATGATTACTTATACCACCTTATCCCTAAGGCCCTATCTACATATAAAATGAAAGGAGGAATTGAAATCCCATAATGTTTTCACTTGTAGCCAAACCAAGCGCCCTTCATTCCCATCCCTCACCACCTAAAAAGTGACAGTAATCATAAGCTAAATTACTGCTGCAAGGGAAAATAATTAAAACTACAAATAACCAGGAATTTGTTTAGATTTTTTTGGTACTGTTTTAGTGGCTTTTAAAATTTAATAAAACTAGGTAGATTAAGGAATGAAGTAGCCAATCTATCAAAAACATTTTAAATAGAAGCTATATGGAAAGTTTGAGGTTTATATTAGATATTCAAACCCTTTTTTGCTAATAGGTCCTTGTAATTACTTTCAATAACCTAAATTTAAAAGAAGACAAAGAAAAGTGAAACTAATTTGCTGGGTCTGTTAGTAAGTATAAGAAATTAAAGTACACTAGGACTATGCTTTACTTTTCCTTTGGTATTAAGAGATATATTACCAATATCAAATCAATCCCGTTATTTTTCTTTAACTGCTCTGGCTGGCAGCCCAGTGGTTAGAACACTAGCTCAAGCATTTTTTTTATTTATTTATTTTTTTAGGGCCTCAGTTTTGATCTCTGGCTGGTCAAGGTGCGTGCAGGTGGCAACCAATCAATCTCTCTCTCACACATCAATGTTTCTTTTTCCCTCTCTCCTATTCTCCCTCCTCCTGCCACTCTCTTAAAAAAAAAAAAATTCAATGTAAAAAATATCCTTAGATATCAGTGAATGCATTCAAGTGAGGATTTAAAAAAAAAAATCAATAACTGAGGGATGTTTCTCAGGGAAAATGAGAATATGATAACTGATACCTGTTTTGTGTATCAAGAAAAATGTGGTCCTAGCTGGTTTGGCTCAGCAGATAAGAGCATCAGACTGTGGCCTGAAGGGTCCCCAGTTCAATTCCGGTCAAGGGCAAATGCTCAGGTTGCAGGCTCAATCCCCAGTAGGGGGCATGCAGGAAGCAGCTGATCAATGATTCTCTCATCACTCATGTTTCAATTTCTTCTCTCCCTCTCCATTCCTCTCTGAAATCATATTTAAAAAAAAAAAAAATGTGGTTGCAACCAAGCAATTTACCTCTCATACGATTTACTTTGGTGGAAAACCCATTTATATTTGATAACATTTTAGAAATTAGGCTTTTCCAATTTTTTTCTTTTGTGAAAGCATATATAATTATGGTGACATGACTATGGATGGAGACAAACTTCAAATTGTTTAATTAGTTTCTTGTTACTTTTAGTAACATTAATAAAGTTACAAAATGAAACAAAAGTTTATAGAAGGATACACATCAGTTAATTCTGCATGGTTAGATTACAGTGGGTTTTTTATTTTGTTTGTATTTCTTTCTTACATATTTCTCCATTACCTATAAAATAACAGATACCTTTCAAGAGCAAAAAAGATAGCAGTAATGCAATGGTGCAAGCTTATCTATCATACAACCATTTCAAAAATAAATAACCTGTCAAATAGCCAAACCTACCACATGACAACCCACAGATATCATTCAGATACCTGAAATTATTATGGATCTAACAGGGGGAAAACTATGATTAAAGCCATGGCTTTAAAGAATACACTTTTTTATATATTTTTATCCACCTCAGAAGTATTTTTAAGACTATGGAATGTCTACAGATTATAGAATATTTGTGCAATTCCGCTGTTTATGTAATACGTATTTCCTTAGGCATAATCTAATTGCAGTGTGGGTCTATTTTAAACAATTTTTAACAACCAATTTAGTGCCATCCTAGAAAAGGATACATGTAACACATACCCCAGAATATGTGCCTTTGATTTATATAACAGAATTTATCAACTAGCTTTTCTATTTAATGCTTTAAAATAAAATAATAATTTGAAAATTGCATAAAACTGGAAAAAAATTGTGGCATCCTAATAGCTAATCCAAATTTACAAAAATAGTGAACACAAGTTTTTCTCTTATATATACCATGCTACTATGATTGAAGAAAGTCTAACAACCATTCTAAAAATATTTATATTGAAGATTACAAAGCATGTATACTAACAAAATATAAAAACATCATCAACTTTAAATGGTATACCTTAACAAATTTTTTAAGCTTAAATAGCCAAAACATTCCTTTATGTTCACATCATAAATTTTATTGGACCAAGAAGCTGATAAGTTCATTCAAAAATGATAATGGACAAATTTCTGAAACAAAAGTATCAATAGCAGCTTTTAAAGAAGCATCTCTTTGTTCAAAACACCTTAATGTCCAACATAGTGAGAGCTTTCTTCTTTTTCTAGTCTTAAAGTGTTTCTTATGGAAAAGTCCATTTTTTCTTGAAATTCTTTGTATGTATTGGTGATTGGGAGAGATAAACAGTTATTACACTTGTTTCCAACAGGAAAATCCATATGAAGGCACTCAACTGAAGGAGTGGGTTTAAATCCAGCAGGTGGAATGGAATTGCAACCAGTTGCAAAAATAAGAATATCTTCCAATGTTGTTGCAGATTTACCATCTGAAAAGTTTACCAAGAAGAAAAATAAGTTCATTATATATTGCTACCATCAGATTTTTCCCCATCTTGACTGGGAATGTTGAAAGGCAGAGACTCCCACATCTATCTAGGGCAAATTAAATAACTAAGTCAAGTGTAGTAATAGTAAAACAGTACATTCAATAAATGTTTGAATCTCAAAGTAGGACTCACAAAATCACTTAATTGAAATACTCATTGTATATTTGAATGCCTTCTCTAATATAAAGTTATCATAGAGTCCAAGAAGTTCAGTGAATTATGAAATTTTGTCTTTTGGGGATATATTATACTAAAAACAATTAGTGTATCATAAACTACTTCTAGTTATCATTATTTGATAAACTAGTGCAGTGACTTCCAACCTTTTTCATCTCATGGCACACATAAACTAATTACTAAAATTCTGTAGCACATCAAAAAAATGTATTTTTTGCCAATCTGACACAAAAAAAGGTATAATTTTGACCCACTCACACTGGATGGCTACTGTTATATTGACTGTTGTCATTTTTTCATTTGACAATCTAAGGGAAAAGAGGTCAGTGCCCTGACTAAACAGTCAGGGATTGCATGTTTTAGAAGTTCTTGTAGCACACTGGTTGAAAATCAATTAGTTCAATAAATGCAGAGAAAAACAACAACAACTTGTCTGAAAGAAGATTCAACTGAAAATTAAAAATTATCTTCCACTCTATTAAAAAGATTTCACATTGCTAATGCTCAATGATAAACATCATTATCATAGTCCTTACCAAAGGATTAATAACTTAATGTAACAAGTTTGAGAAAGGTGAAACAGACAATTAGCCTTTATACTATTCTATACTGTGGCTATCACCCATATAATTAAAATTCCTAGGAAGAATGCATCTGACCTCAAATTATATAAAGAAACATTGTAAAATACAATTTTGTTCTGTAACCTTTCCTCATCAATATCAACTCTATCACACAAACTTATTTTTAAGTATTTTGTAAATATGTAGCCAATGAAAATTCTCATCAAAAAGCAATAAAGAAATATACTGAAACAAACATTCTAAGAGTTTGATAAAAATAAAACATCCACATACCTTCAACAGCTTGTAAGTAATTGTTCCAAAACCCCAAAGACTGTGCATCACTTGTGTGTACTGTAAAAAGATCTCTAAGGATTTTTGCAGAAAGATTCTCAGGTTTATGACAAAAGATGCTATAAAATGCTTCTGGATAAGTCTGAATTTTCTCCAAAACGCCAAGAGTTTTCAGACCCTGCTTAAAACTTAAGAGAAGAAAAGTGCTGAGAAAACATTCATACATGTGTTTGATATTACAATAGGGAGTTAATATTTCTAGCTTTATTTTTAAATTCCAATTTACCTTCTATTTAAAAAGTCATACTACTTTTTAAAATAGTTACCTCTTAAGATTTTAATAGGTATATTTATAATCTAAAGTGAATCAAAGAACAGTAATCTCCCCGTATTTTGGGGGATATGTTCCAAGACCTATTAATAGCTGCCTGAAACTGGGGGTAGTACTGAACCCTAATATATTCAATTTTTCCCCTATGGATATATCCTTCTCTTCTTTGTAATCAACTTCTTTAACTCTGCTGGAAATGTGGCAGTACTTTCTTCATTGGCAGATAGCCTCTTCAGTAATTCTTATATTTTTCAGTCTGAGCCTATTCCTGAGTCTCTGTAACCATCCCTTACTTGCAGTAAATGGTTTGGTGTCATTTGTTTCAGGGATCCCTTACTGATGTCTTCATAACACAATGCTTTCTGTTGCAACATGTTGCAATCATTCATACCAAGTTTTCTGTTCATGTCTTCCACCCATCATTTAATGCCTTTTCCATTTTTTTGCCTTTTCCATCTTAACTAAGCGTTTTTCATGCACTGTGGCTGTGACTTTTGCAATTTGAGGTGCAACACAGCAAAACTAGGATGAACCTTCTTCAGTTTCACAGATTTGTTCTTACTATAAATCATAGCAACTCAATATGATTTTTTCTTTCCTTATTTAGGTAGAGAATGTTTGATTTTCACTTAAAAGGAAGCACATTATGGCTTCTCTTTGGCAATCTGAATTTCCAGAATTATTACTCTTGCACGTTAGGGCTATTACTAAGTAAACAAGCACTTAATACTATGACAGTCCATCTGAAAACCAAGATGGCTACTAAGGGGCATGGATAGGTGGATAAAAGAATGATTTATATCTCAGGAAATACAAGATTTCTCCATGCTTCTCAAAACAATGTACAATTTAAAATTAATTCTCTATACAATTTTCCACTTAATATTTCTGAATCATGATTGATCACGAGTAAATGAAACAGAGAAGTGAAACCATGGACGGGGTTGAGGAGGGGCTAGTGTTTACCCTCTTCCTGAAGGATGCAAAGGCTTTAGAACATTTAAAACTAATTGCTAGTTCAAAAGTCTTCTTAGTTTCATAAACTCTCAAAGTAAACGTTTTTGTACAATAAGTTGCTCTGTTTACCAATTTCTTTACCATTCCTCCTCACTCACAAACCTCTGATAGAATCTTTTTTACCTCTTGTATCCAGTAACTTTGTTAAACACTTTACAGAATTTCTTAGATTATTTTAGGTTAGACAATCATGCAGGCTACAAATTTTAGTTCTGTTAATCCTTAATAACATTCACTTATTCATTTGATCTTGTCGCTCTGCTAGTCTTCAGCATATTGTGAAAACCAAGGGAGTAATTATGTATATTCTAGGGTCATCTGGCCTTAAAGGGAATGGTGGTTAACAGTTCACCTTTAGGGATGTTTGCTGAATGTTTAGAAGATACTCGTTATAATGGTTTTTCAAATTGTTATTTTAAAATTATGTATAAATGTTAAAATGTATGAAATGCTTTTTCTGCACCTAAAATTGTATGATTGGATGTTTTTGTTCCTTTAACCTATTAGGAGGATACACTGCAGTAAAGATTTTTTAATGTGCTTCCTTTTATAAACCCTTTTCAAAATCAAATCACTGCTATTTTAGACCTTAATTATTTGTATGCTTAAACTTATTAACACCTTTGAGACCTGTTTAAAATATCCAACTATTTTAACAATTTCTATGTTGTCAGTTTTAAAAAATATATAATTTATTGATTTTTTTTTTTTATAGAGAGGAAAGGAGAGGGATAGTGAGTCATAAACATCGATGAGAGGGAAACATCAATCAGCTGCCTCCTGCTTGCCTCCCACTGGGGATGTGCCTGCAATCAAGGTATCGATACATGCCCCTGACCAGAATTGAACCTGGGAACCTTCAGTCCATAGGCCAACACTCTATCCACTGAGCCAAACCAGTTAGGGCTGTTGTCAGTTTTTGCTTACGTATTTGAAGCTATGTTTTTAGGTCATTACTTTTTTATTTTGTGTTAAAAGTCATTTATTTAAAATGCAATTTAAGATCTTTTTAATACAAAAGCCTAAGCTATTTATGTGTCATACTTACCAATCTAAATTTATATTTTCCTACTTTATAATATGCTTTCTTGGAACATGTGTTTTCTTTGTTTATTTTTACCCTATTTTCTGTCCATTATGTTCTTTATTTCACCCCCAGACCTCACCAACCTGGTTTGGAAATTACAAATGCTCTTCCTGTATTTTAGAAAATAACTTAAAAGAGACATTCTTGATTTAATAATCTAAAGCTAATTGATGCTTCCTTATTACTATCTCTACACAAGTCCCTTAAAACAATAAACCCAACAATATCCATTCTTCTTACAGATTAATTTTCACTAATATTTTAATTATTTTAACCATTTTACCAAAATTTAGTTGTTTTTTAATGGCCAATCCTCATTTTTTTTAATTCATATTTTTTCCTATACCTGTGCTCACTGCTGCTTCTTGTATATTTTTCTTTCTAGGTTCAATTTTTCTTCCTTAAATATATACTTTATTAATCTCTTTAGGAAATAACTAAACTAACCCCAAATGTCTATTTCTCTCACTTTTGAATGATAATGCAAGTAGTTTGTGAAGGTATTACCAGGGCTGTCTGTTTTCACTGTTGACATTACTGAGAAAAAAAAAAAACCAACCACCCTGCTTTCAGTATATATCATTTTTACAACAGTGTCTTTTGGCTCAAAATGCAGTTTCGCCACAAAATGGCTCATTAAGCCGTGTGATCCTCAAGAACTTTTTCTGCAGCATTTTCTGTTTTATTTTATAATCCTTTTATAATTCCAAGAATATATTTTTATTGATTCTGGGGGAAAGAGAAGGGAGAGAAACATTGACTGTTGTCCTCTGGACAAGTCCTGATTAGGAATTATATCCTCAACTTTTTGTTGCATAAGATGACACTCAAATTAACTGAGCTTCTCGGCTAGTGCTTAAGCAGTATTTTCTATAATGCTGCTCTGGCCGCCATCTTGTTTTTTTAGTTAAATATATGTTTGGGTTCTCTTATTCTAATTTTCACAAAACCTTGTTTTCAATCTCTCTATTAAGAACAAATCCTCATATTCATCTTCCTGATCACTAGTTTTTTCTTCAATTGCCTACCATATAACATTTTCATTTCCACGATCATTTTTGGGTCCTTTTCCTTGTCCTCCTGTGGGTTATTTGAATTTTTAAATTCATTTTTTACCTATTGTGCTGTTAAATGTATTTTTTTAAAATATAAGTCTACTGGTATCAACATTTTATAAGCCTTACCTCTCTCTACATCCTTTTGCCTTTCCCTGTACTTAATGTAATTTCCTAAATATTTCTTCCACATATACTTGAACATTATAAAATATTATTGTAATTTTTTAACTCAACTATGAAATATGATTTAGGAAACATGCCTTTATTCTTTTCTTTTTCTTTCTTCCTGATGTTTCAAATTATCATCATATATAATAAAAGCATAATATGCTAAGTGTCCAACCAATCAGTTGACCATTTAGTCAACTGCTCAACCAGTTGCTATATGACCCACACTGACCACCCAGGGGCAGATGTTCAACTGGTAGGTTAGCTTGCTGCTGGGGTTCGGCTGATTGGGACTGGGAGAGAGAGTTGGACATGCCCCAGAGCCTTCCCATAGTCCTTCCCCAGTTGGCTAGCCCTCAAGGCCCCAATCAGGACTGGGTGAGACTGCCCTGATGGACCCCACACATGCACGAATTTGTGCACTAGGCATCTAGTACCTTTAGTAATTTGCTTTCTGTTTCAAGTATTTCCTATAGGCTTTATTTTAGAGTAGGTCTGCTGGTAACAAATTCTCTTAGTTTTACTTCATATAAGAAGGTTTAGATTTCCTCTTCATTAAGCAGTGTTGTTCCTGGGTTCTAAGATCCTCAGCTGGTCTGCTTTCATCTCCTTACCTTTCAGTCTTACATTTGTTTTACATATAATGTTCAGGGTTTTTAACTGTACTTAGCAGAAGGAATAGAGAGAACTATGTCTATTCCATGTTATCCAGAACTGACGTTTGTGGTCATTTTTCAACATGGAAGAGATATTTGATTCATTTTGTGCGTGTATTTCCCCCCTCCCCCAATTGTTTGTTTTCTCTTTTAAATCACTACATTAAACCCTCGATTTTGCAGACCTAGATTTAACAAACAAAGTTTCTGGTCCATATGTCATATGTGAAAATTAACAACCTGGTAATTCTAAAATGCTTTTAACCAAGATTTGCTTACAATTAAATTAGCAGGTTATTTTTTGGTATTAATTCACTGTTACTTTTCACTAATTTTAGTGAATAGCCCATATGTTTAAAAAAACAAATAATTTTGTCAACATAAATAAATATTACACATCTACAACTATAGTTTACATATTTAAATCTAAGAGTCACCATTCGTAAACAGTGTTTGTTGAATAATTAGCATATGATCACACCACATCGTTCCACCCATGTGCATTTGTTTACCCGGAGTGACAGGTGAATTTAAAATTACTGTAATACATATAGAAAACTTTTCTGTGAAATTAAACTTTTTATATATACTTAATTTTAATTACACAAACATATCTACATAACAAAAACAGGTAAATAACTACTTTGTCAATTTTTTAACATACACAATCAGAAAATCTAGTTTATTATGTAATAGACTTTCAACTTCAACCAACACTCCCTTGCCCATATTAGTCAATTATATCGCAGTTTTACGGCACTAATATTTTATCTCATTCAGTTTTTGTTATTTAAATTCTTGGGTGCTATTCCTAATACTTCCTTTTTTCCTTGTGTATTTTGCCTCCATTGGAAATGCTTCTTCTTTACCAATGTATCATTAGCGCTCCCATTAGGCCCAGATTGTAGCAATTTCCTAACATAGTTGCTATGTATTTGCTTTTGCCTGGCACTCTACAAGTTTTATGAATCCTAAAATCAATTATTTTGTTAATTTCTTTGCTTCAGATGAGGGTACAAACTGAGGGTTCTGATTTCATATGACAGCTAGGGAATGTGGCTTTTGGTTTCCTTGTTATTTGTTTATTTTTTAAATATATTTTATTGATTTATTTTATAGAGAGGAAAAGAGAGATAGAGAGTTAGAAACATTGATGAAAATCATCCATCAGCTGCCTCCTGCACACCCCCCACTGGTGACATGCCTGCAACCAAGGCACACGCCCTCGACCGGAATCAAATCTGGGACCCTTCAGTCCGCAGGCCGACGCTCTATCCACTAAGCCAAACCAGTTTCGGCTCATTGTTATTTCTGACATCTATAAGATTCTTATGAGTTCAGATATATATATATTTACAAGATTTTTTTGTTATATGATATTTTATCTTTTACATAGGAGGGATTACTCTTCAGCTTTTATCTTGCCTTCTTCATCTTGATCTGCCTAACTCTTATTTATCATTCAGTTTTAATTTAAACACCAATTAAACAGATAGTACATCCTGACATCTAGAGTACTCATATCTATAAAACGAAACAAACAGAATAAAAAATGATAAATTCTCTGAGTTAGCAATCAGAAAAATCCATCGGTAGATACATGAACTACTTTCATTAAGAGATGCACTTCAAATTTAAAAATAACCACATCAAAATTTATACTATATGGGGTTATTCTGTGTATTAACCATAATTATAAATGATAATTCTATTCATATAAAATTTTACTATTTAAGAGTCCCATAGTCAGGACATTTGGATACATTTCAAAGATGTAACTATTATTTTTAAATTGCAATATTAAAAATATGTTGGATTTATATTCAAGTTTATGATGTTATATTTTCATTTGTGAGAGTGCTGGAGAGCATTCTAAATGTCCATATATATAAAAATTGGTTGAAAAAAAAAATTAGGAAACTTGAAAAAAACACACACACATATAATGATATATCCAAACAACAGAGCTCTACAGAACTCTAAAACAGAAGGAGGACTATGTCTTATTTACTACCGTGGAGTGATCTGCAGAATATATTGCCCAGTAAAAAACGAGGAAAAAATGGTGAATGGCATTGTATCTAAGAGAAATGAGTACGCAAACACTTATATAGTTATCTGCTATTATTTAAAAAACAAAAAAATAATGAAAGAATAAACAATTAAAGCCATCAAAATGATTACTTCACAAGGCATTTTATCTTTTACATAGGAGGGATTACTCTTCAGCTTTTATCTTGCCTTTTTCATCTTAAAGTTAGAAGTGATAAAGATAAAAGCTATACATCTTTGAATACAATTTGTATCATAGAGCTTTTAATATACTATAGTTTCATTACAGTTTTGACTTTGAAACCATGCGGGCATTTTACATAACTTTTTAAATATATTTTATTGATTTTTTACAGAGAGTAGGAGAGAGTGATAGAGAGCTAGAAACGTTGATGAAAGAGAAACATCGACCAGCTGCCTCTTACACACCCCCTTTCCAGGGATGTGCCCGCAACTAAAGTACATGCCCTTGACCGGAATCGAACCTGGGACCTTTCAGTCCGCAGACCGACGCTCTACCACTGAGCCAAACCGGCTTCAGCTACATAACTTTTTTAAAAATAAAATTTTAATTAGAAAACACTAAAAATAAAAAAATGAAAAAAATATACCCAATTAGTAGTATAACAACACGAAATATAACTATTACAAATTACTTTAAAACACAGTAATTTGACACTATTGCCCTAGAAGAACAAAAGAAAAACAATTTTAATCTGTTTTCAATAGTATTTGTTATTAGTGATAATGTTGGTATTGTTATTTTTATTGATTTGAGAGAGGATGGGAGAGGGAGAAATAGAAACATCAATGATGAGAGAGAATCACTGATCTGCTGACTCCTGCATGCCCCCCATTGGGAATTGAGCCTATAACCTATGCATGTGCCCTTGATCAGAATCAAACCTGGGACCCTTGATGCAATAGGGGCTATCCATTGAGTCAAACCAGCTAAAAGGGGTATTGTTATTCTGAGACTATTGTTTATAAAATATGGAATAAGTCAAGTGAATAATTATTTCATACTAGAGGCCTAGTGCACAAATTCTACACAGGTAATCAAGGCCTATCATGGCCTGGCTGGCGATCAAGGCCTATCATGGGGGGTCAGCTTGCGGGGAAAGGGACCATAAGAGGTTGGCCCGCCGGCAGGGGTGGGGGGGGTGTTAAGGGAGTGGCAGCTGACAGGGGGTGATGCCGCGGGAGGTTGGCCAGAAGGATTGAGGGGCTGTGAGAGGTTGGCCAGGAAGGATGTCCAGGAGGTCGTTTGGCTATCTGACCTAATTAGCATATTATGCCTTTATTATTACCTATTATTACAAATTTTAATTCTCCAGTGATTTTGAGAACTAGGATTCTTAACATGAGACAAAGGGAAGTTAAACACCTTATAGTAGTGATTTTGAAATATCAGTATAACCTCATAATATATTCTTTCTTAAAAACAAAACAAAAACACTGTATTTCCTAGTTTTTGTCCACTGAAAAGGCCTAGAAACAATGACCAACCTGGCAAAAATGAGCACCCATAGCATCCAGACTCTGGTTTTGAAATATCATTTCCCATTCAAAGAAACAAAGGTCTCTTAGCAAAGAATAACAAAATGAAACTGAAATATATTACTATACCATACAGTAAGGTGGCTCTCAAAGACCATTAATGGTCAACATAAAAAAAAACTCAAACAACATAATAAGGTTTATACTGGCAAAAGATGAGATAGTTTGAACTTCAGTAAAGATAACAACTGTAACAATTTCAACACAAGTAATACACTGATTAGCCAGATTATTATGATCTCTGAATGCATAATAATCTGGCCAATCAGTGTGTATATTTATTAGAGGCCCGGTGTATAAATTCATGCATGGATGGGTCTGACCAGCCTGGCCAATGGGAGGGGATTTGGCAGTTGGCTGGCTGCCTGCTGGTCGAACTCCTGGTTGAGGGGACAATTTGCCCATTATCCTTTTATTATATAAGATATACACTGAGTAGCCAGATTATTATGCATTCAGAGATCATGACAATCTGGCTACTTAGTGTATTTAAATGTATTTAAAGCTAAAATAAAGTTTAAAGAAAAACCTGATCACTTTTCAGATAACATGATGTCTGATAATAGCTTGAAAATAATACTTGAGTCAATAACAACAGTAGGACAGATGAAAAAGACTGACCAAAGGTCGATTGATAAATTTTAGATATGGGTGATGATTATATGCCATACCATTCTCCCTACTTTCAAATATATTTTGTTTTTCATTATTAAAAAAATAGAGTATGAGAACATATATAAGTTTTCAAAATTCATTCAAAGTATTATTGGAACAAAAAGTTTGAAGACCAGTGTTCTAAAGCTAAAGAGCAAAAAGTTTGAACACCAATGTTCTAAAACTAAAGAGCAAGAATCATATCTACAAATAGAACCAGAGACATAGAAGCATAGGACAGGCTGTCCAACCTATGAGAGAAGGCAGGTGATAAGCGGATAAGAGATCAACTAAAGGACTTGTATGCATGCATATGAGCATAACCAATGGACACAGACATTAGGGAGGTGAGGGCAGGTGCTGGGGGAGAGTGGCCAGGGAGAGGTCAATGGGGAAAAAGGAAACTCATATAATACTTTAAACAATAAAGAATTTTTAAAAAATCACATCTACCGTATTAATCAAAGAATGCTCAGTACTTATTACCCAATAGACAACAGGTGCTTAATATATAGGTATTAAGCGAATGAGTAGAGATAAAATAGTTGGCTCAAATTATAAGAATTTTTAAAATAATTTTTATTTAGAAAAATAATTATAAATTGAGATGGTTATTCTTTCTACATAAGCATCATATATTTATGCAATTCTATATATATGGTTAGAACAGTAGTCTTCCTTAACAGGTTTATTTTAAAGCATTATTTAAAATTTTTATCAAATATATCTCACATTATAATTAATATATAATTTGAATAAACCTTCCACATTTAAATAACCTACCTTTCAAAAGGTGCTTGGACTCTTTTAATTACATGGTAAGCAAGTATGTCTTTTGCCAATAAATATTTGTCACTTAACGATGTGATAATTCGTAGACATCCAATAAGCTCTAGGTAATTATAGCAATCATTCACAATTGAGTTTAAGTCAGCTACATTTGTTGCACTATTTACCTGAAATGAAGAAAATATACTCAGCTTCTACTTTCACTTGTAAATGATATTTACATTTCAAATGACACGTTATTTTAACTCAATTCTTGAGTACACCAGAATGGAATGAAAGTATACCAAAAATTATTTTTGTACAATAAATACCTGGCAATCCAATTTAATAAACATAGTATATTTCTTTTTTCAAGAAACCTCGAGTATAATACCACTTTAATATGGGAAATTGCTTACATAAAAGGCAATAATTGACATAGAACAGTTACATAGTACTGGAGAGGTAAGAGAGATGACCTGAGATTTCATGAAAGAGAAAGAATATCAGCTGAGACTTAGATGAATACAACCAAAGAGTATATTTCAAGGAACAGCATAAACAGAAAATTCTTGACCATTTATGGTCAACACTTTCATATAGGTTAAATCTTTGAACATTTACAGAAGGAGAAAGATAAAAAATACAAGGTAGTCAATGGAAAATTTCCTTGCTATTTCTTCTTTCCAAAAACCTCTTTTCCCAGATTTCCAGGATTCTCTCATTTATATTGGATCTCTGCATTTCTCCCAAGTTTTTCCTGACTACCCTGTTCAAAATAGTTGAATATATGTTGCCTTTTCGTCCCAAATTCACCATCCTGATTTTTAACTGGGCACATAGCCAAATTTTCCTTCCAACTATGTGACTAAGGCTATCTAATGGGACGAGTGAAAATGTGTCAAACTCTCACTCTACTTCCACTCTTTCTCCCTTAAGTGCAAGCTTCATCCATGGAGATGTAAATACTACACTAAGTGATTACAATGAGAGGATGGAATCCAATTCTCTGGATGACCAGATGTATCACTACTATAACTCTAAAATGAATAATTTCTGTAGAAACCAGGTAGCATTTTGTTTTGTGAATAGATATCTGACACAACTACTCAACCCCACTATTATAGTGTAAAAATAGTCATGGACAAATAACAAGTGGGTATGGTTGCTATAAAACTTAATTTACAGCCAAAACCGGTTTGGCTCAGTGGTAGAGCGTTGGTCTGCGGACTGAAAGGTCCCAGGTTTGAAACCGGTCAGGGGCATGTACATTGGTTGCGGGCACATCCCCGGTAGGGGGTGTGCAAGAGGCAGCTGGTCGATGTTTCTCTCTCAACATTTCTAGCTCTCTATCTCTCTCCCTTCCTCTCTGTAAAAATCAATAAAATATATTGAAAAAACAAAACAAAACAACTTAATTTACAAAAAAAGAGACAGCAGGCCAGACTTGACCTACAGCCATAGTTTGCCAACCCTAACCCCTGAAATCTAAACAGATGAGAGAAAAATAAATGTCATTTTTATTTTATTTTTTGTGAGACTGTCTTTTGGGTGTCTATATTACAGCAGCTTAGCCTCAGCTCTAACCTATTATACCTCAAGCATTATCTATCTTCTTTCTCATATTCATTTTATTTTTTTATTTTTTAAAATATATATTTTATTGATTTTGTACAGAGAGGAAGGGAGATAGAGAGTTAGAAACATCGATGAGAGAGAGTCATCGATCAGCTGCCTCTTGCACACCCCCTACTGGGGATATGCTTGCAACCAAGGTACATGCCCTTGACCGGAATCGAACCCGGGACCCTTCAGTCCCCAAGCCTATGCTCTATCCATTGAGCCAAACCGGTTTCGGCTCATATTCATTTTACTATATAATGGTATAGTTGACCCTTGAACAACAGGGGTTTGAACTGTGTGGGTACTCTTACATGCAGATTTTTTTCCCCTTAATACATGGGTCTTGCATCAGCAAATGAGGAGGGCTAATTATATGCATTTTTTTCTATCAAGTTATATAAGAGATTCAAACATCTACAGTTTTAGGTATCTGCAAGGGGATCCCAGAACCAGTCCCCCACAGATATTGAGGGACAACTGTGGTTAAGTTTGGGAGAACAAAATATATGTAGATTTTTTTTACTGACTGTGGGGTTAGGTGCCCCTAGACCTTCACATTTTACAAGATCAATTATACTGCCCAATGCAGGAGCTGCCATGATGCACTCTGGCCATTTAAAAATAAACAGCACCAGAGACCTGCTGCCAACAAACCAACATTCGGCTTCCCCAAGTGGGACACAGGCCGCGCCACAACACTGGAGCGACACCCCACCAAATAGCAGCCAACATCCTGTGGCACAAAATGCAGCACACAGCCCAGCCTGAAAACAGTGGCTATGGACACCAAGTAATGACATCACAAAGCAACACCCAGCTTCCTTTCTCTAGCTACTAGCCTCCTTGGAGTTTCTTTAGCCCAGAAACCTCACTTGCTTTACAACCAGGTACAAACATTTTACAGTTTAAGCAAATGTTTGTGAAGTGTTTCCCCATGCCTCATCTCATTTGATCTTCCCAGAAGTCCTGGAGTAGGTAGATAAGAGACTTGGTAGAATCCTACTTTCATTTTATAAGCAAGATGGGAATAACAATATTAAAATATTTCTTCTAATTAACTTTCCTTTAATGTTCATGAATACATGCACTGGGACACTAGTAAATTGTATATTTATTTATTTCTTGTCTTCACTCTGAAACAGCAGTTGTCACCATTGGACCTCATGGATGACCATTGGTCCACGGACCACTAATTAGTGACCACTGCTCTAAAAGGTAATTTCAAGGTGATAGGGATTTTGGCTCATTACTCTGTCTTCGGTGATAAAACAGTACTCAGTACATAGTATTTACTAAATAACAAACATTGCTTAGGAATACAAACTAGGAATAAGTAAAGCCATGAGGAGAGTTGGAAGTCTTAAATAACCTAATGAATAACATGAACTTTGTTCAATAGGCAATGAGAAGCCATTGAGCAATCCTAAGAAAGAAAGCAATGTGGTCAAAATTGTACTTCTGAATCACCTTAAGAATATTAGAATAAAGTCCTAATTTCTCACAAGTAGACATAATTTAGTTATAGTAGGCACACCAAAAATAAGGAAAGGCAGATGACTTGACACAGACTGATAAATGGAATAAAAGAATGAAAACAACCCCTTCCCCATGTCTTAGATACAAGGTATCTCTTGAAAAGTAAATCGAGCTGAAAAATGCTGGAGAAAAATATTAGTTCTGTTGGCCTCAATGTGTAAACAAGGATCCGATCTTCACACAAAATCTAGGGTCTCAAAAATACAGATCTGGGAATCATTCAGAAAGGTTATAGGTGAGAAGCTTTCCAAATATTTTAAAACTAGAGGCCCAGGGCATGAAATTCAAGCACAAGGGGGTTAGGGGGTGGTCCCTCAGCCCAGCCTGCACCCTCTCCAATCTGGGTCCCCTCGAGGGATGACTGACTGCCGTTTAGGCCCGATCCCACCGGAGAGTCAGACATCTCTCTCACAATCCAGGACTGCTGGCTCCCAACTGCTCACCTGCCTGCTTGATTGCCCCTAACCACTTCTGCCTGCCAGCCTGATCACCCCCTAACCACTCCCCTGCCAGCCTGATCAATGCCTAACTGCTCCCCTGCTGGCCCAATTACCCCCTACTGCCCACTCCTGCAGGCCTGGTTGCCCCCAACTACCCTCCCCTGCTGGCCATCTTGTGTGTTAGAGTGACAGTCAATTTGCATATTACTTCTTTATTAGATAGGATTAGGACTGTTAAAACAACACTGAAAAATACCTCTTTCAAGGGTAGGAAGAGGAAGGATTAAAAAAGACAAGTAGTCAAAAATAGAAGAAAGTACAATATTAAAGTAATAGAGAGAGCCTAGCTTGAGTAGCTCAGTGATTGAGCATTGACCTCTGAACTGGAGGTCACAGTTTGGTTCATAGTAGGGGCAACACATGCCCAGTTGCAGACTCAATCCCCAGAGTGAGGCATACAGGAAACAGTCAATGATTATCTCTCATCACTGATGTTTCTATCACTCTTCATTTCTCTCTGAAATAAATAAAAATATATTTAAAATAATAAAAATAAAACAGTAGAGGATTTGAAGACAGCAAATTTTGATTGCAGAAATCAAAAGAGATAAGGAATTAGAATTAAAAACAAAACAAAACACACAAAAAGACATTTGAATGTAAAGATCCAAATCCATGGATACCAGCTTTGAACTACCTAACTTGGGAGACAGGAGGTGGGAACCAGAAACCTCTCTCTAAAAAGTTAAGAAATCTGTCCTAGCCGGTTTGGCTCAGTGGATACAGCGTTGGCCTTCAGACCGAAGGGTTCTGGGTTCAATTCCAGTAAAGGGCACATGCCTGGGTTGCAGGCTTGATCCCCAGTGTGGGGCATGCAAGAGGCAGCTGATGGATGATGATTCTCTCTTATCATTGATATTTCTCTTTTTCCCTTCCTCTCTGAAGTCAACAAAAAAAACAGAGTGGCCAGATTATTACAATCTCTGAGCACATAATAATCTGGCCAGTGTGTGTGTGTGTGTATTAGAGACCTGGTGCACAAAATTCGTGCACTCGAGTTGGGGGGTTGCCCTCTCACAGTCCAGGAGCCCGCTGGGGATGTCCACAGGGAGCAAGCCTAACCCATGAGTCGGACATCTTAGTGCTGCAACGGACATCTTAATGCTGCCAAGGAGGCGGGAGAGGCTTCTGCCATGACTGCTGCACACAGCAGTCGTAAGCCCAGCTTCTGGCTGAGCAGCGCTCCCCGTGTTGGGCTATGCCCCCTGGTAGTCAGTGCACATCATAGCCACTGTCGTTCTGCAGTTCAGTCGATTTGCATGCTAGCCTTTTATTATATAGAGTAGGGTCCGGCCACCCTGGCCAGAGGGAGGGGACAGGGGTGGTTAGCCAGCCAGCTTGCCTGCTGGTCAAACTCTAGATCAAGGGAACAATGTGCTTATTTGCCTTTTATTATATAGGATATACACTGAGTGACCAGATTATTATGCGTTCAGAAATCATAATAATCTGGCCACTCAGTGTATATTTTTTTATAAAAAGTTAAGAAATCCTTAGAAAAGAGGAAGTGAGACAACAAAGTTAGGCTTAACAAAACTAAGCCTAACTTCATTGCCTAAGTTACACAGCTTATAGTGTATACTTATTTCAATCTAAAATCTGACTTGTATGCTCTAAACCATTAACTATACTGCTAATTAAATGAAACAATGACTAGATAGAGGAGGTTAAGATAAGGAAAGTTGAATGGCTTTCATCATCTTCAAATCAGTAACATGTAAGCCAGGATTGTCAAACACTCGGCCTATAGGCCACCAATGAATATTTTTGCAGCCCAGTCAATAGAACGGTATGTAAGAAACATTTAAATAAAAATTTCATAATTTTTTTTACAATATCCTGTTATACATAATTATCAATAATAAACTACAACATTTGCTAATGACTGATTACTATAATCGTGTTGCATTCATTTCCCTTACTTGCCTTATACACAGGCACACCATTTCTTTCCTTGCTCCTATTTTAGTTGTTCTATGAAAGCAAAACTTGGACTGACTTGTTTCGCTTTCGGAGAAAAACTAAAATAGGTTTATTTGCATTACGTTTATTAATCTGTGCAGTTAATCAGTGTCAGGTAAGTTAATGTTCAAGAAAAACAAAGAGCTGAAACCGGTTTGACTCAGTGGATAGAGCGTTGGCCTGCAGACTGAAAGGTCCCAGGTTCGATTCCAGTCAAGGGCATGTACTTTGGTTGGGGGCACATCCCCAGTAGGGGATGTGCAAGAGGCAGCTGATCCATGATTCTCTCTCATCGATGTTTCTAACTCTCTATCCCTCTCTTCCTCTCTGTAAAAAAATCAATAAAATATATTATAAAAAAAGATAATTTTATTAAAATGTTCTATTATTTTAAGTTAATGATTACTTTTATTTCAGCCCTTTATATCCAGCATGTCTCTATCAAAATAAATCTATGTTTCTATGAAAATTGAAGCTTTTGTTTTTTTGCGGCCCACATAATCTTAAACATTGTTTATTTGGCCTGTGTTAGCCTTTGAGTTTGATGTGCTTGGGGTAATCAATGATCCTTATGCAGGCAGCATATGATAACTAAATTGAGTTGGTACATGTAACATGTGCAGTATATGGCTCAAAAAATGTTAACTCTTTTTAGGTGGGAACATTGAGTCTCCCCACTTATTTACACGTGGAAAAAATTCAACCTAGCACTCATAACTCCCTATGGGAAGAATTATGAGTTTTCTGACTGATAAACTATGTCCTTGCTCTCTTCAGGTCCACTGCCTTGCAGGAAAACATACTTTTATCTGCTCTCTTACATGAAACAAGGAATCTACTTTCTATTGTCTCTGGTAAGACAGATAAATCCATCTAGTTCTCAGGAATTTAGTAAGCCATTTTGAGCACAGACTGAAATCACATTTCCAAATGGTTTTATCAATATTAAACTAACTTGGTACTTTGATCTCTAGCTGTCTGACCGTTAAATCTTTTTTTTTTTTTTTTTTTTTTTTTAATTAAAGAACAAACATTTATTTCCTGGGGTTTTGAAGGTTTAGAAGTCCAAGATAAAAGGTGCTGGCAGACTTGGTGTATGGTGAGAGCCACTTCCTGGTTCATAAATGGCCGTATTTCAGTTATATCTCTATGTAGGGACATAAGAGGTAAGGGAGCTCACTGGAGCCTGTTTAATAAACATATTCTATATCTATCTTTTAACAGGTTGTGTACTCGGCAGGTAAACAGAAATATTGTCACCCCTTAGCTACTCCACAGAGTAGTATTATTCTATTGTATCGATAGATCCAGTATTTATATTCAAATCTATTTAGACTGTAGTCTATATTTTAATAAACATGCACATTTCTTACCCTGATTAAAATCTGTGCCACATCAAAGTCTGAAACATCGTCTAAAGTTGGAAAGGTATCTTCTGGTCCAAAAACAAGGCAGTTAAACAAAGTTTTAGAAAAAAAACCAGGTGAAGGACCACCATGAACCAAAGATATGGCAAGCATTTTGCCAGCTTCATAATAAAGATTCTCTTTCAGAGCTGTAAATAGATGGAAATAAATTAAATATACATTATTATTATGCATCGTATGCAATAATACATCTATAATCAATTAAAAACAATCTAAGCATTAGATAAATGGAGAAATAGCAATTTATAGAAGCTATAACATGTATAAATTATAGATTTCACCTAAATCACACAAAAATTTTTTTCTGAATATAAAGTAATACTTATTATAGAAAAAATATAAAGAAGCTATTTTAAATATAGATTTAATGATGTTTTTATAGAGAGGAAGGGAGAAGGATAGAAACATCGATGAGAGAGAAACATTGATCAGCTGCCTCCTAAACACCTCCTACTGGGGATGTACCCACAACCAAGATAAATGCCCTTGACTGGAATCAAACTTGAGACCCTTCAGTCCACAGGCCGATGCTTTATCCACTGAGCCAAACAGTTAGGGTCAGAAACTCTTCAAAACAGCACATTTAAAATCCCTCTACCATAATCATTATATACACTTTGGTATATTTGTGTCTTGTGTGTGTATAAATATATACATAAACAGTAAGACTTCTACTTTTTCCCAATTTACTATAAATTTTTTATATTATTAAAAAATTATTGAAATCTACAGTTAAGGGATACATTAAGACTAACTTACAGATGTGCATCAACATAAACCATCCTTATAGTACCTTCACTAAGTTATATTATACAATCAGTATCTATTTATATAATCTTGTCTATATATTTGATTTTATTAGGATAGATTAAGATTTAGTATTAGTAGTTCAAGGGATAAGAACATTCTTTTGTTGTTAATATTTTTCCATTGATTTTTCAGATAGAGTGGAAGGGAGTAGGGAAGAGACAGAGAGAGAAAAAACATTGATGCGAGAGAGACAAAAGGGATATGAACGTTATTAAGGTTGTTGATCTATAGTGCTAAATTATGTTTCAAAATCGCACAAATTTATTCCCAACAATTCATGCTATTTTACCATATTACAGTTTCCAATATTTTTTTAAATTGCTAGTGAAAATGATTTTAACTACTCTAAGTCAAAAGAATATGTAAATTTTATTTTTCTAAAATCTGTTCAAAGCAAGGGCAATGGAAGCTAAAGAGAAAATAAACAAATGGGACTACATCAAATTAAAAGCTTTTTTACAGCAAAAGAAACCATCAACAAAACAATAGAAAGCCCGCTGTACGGGAGAACATATTTGCAAATGTTATCACTGATAAAGATTTAATCTCCAACATCTACAGACAGCTTATATAACTTAAGAAAAGAAGATAAATGATCCAATTAAAAAATGGGCAATGGACCTAAATAGAATCTTTTCAAAAGGAGACAGAAGGCAGGCCAAGAAGCATATGAAAACATGCTCAAAATCCAAATCGACTCCAGAAGAACATCACAAAGATCATACACCATGACCAAGTAGGATTTATTCTAGGAATGCAAGGATGGTACAATATCCGCAAATCAATAAACGTGATACATCACATAAACAAGTTGAAAGATAAAAATCATATAGTCATATCAATTGATGCAGAAAAAGCATTTGATAAAATCCAACATCCTTTCCTGATAAAAACTCTTAACAAGGTGGGATTACAAGGATCATACATCAACATAATAAAAGCTATATATGATAAACCCACAGCCAACATTATACTCAATGGACAAAAACTAAAACCATTCCCTCTAAGAACAGGAACAAGACAGGGATGCCCACTTTCGCCACTCCTGTTTGACATAGTACTGGAAGTATTAGCCATTGCAATTAGACAAGAGGAGGAAATAAAAGGCATCCAAATTGAAAAAGAAGAATTAAAGTTATCCTTATTTGCAGATGACATGATATTGTACATAAAAAACCCAAAAGACTCCATTAAAAAACTAATTGACTTAATAAATGAATTTGGCAATGTAGCAGGATACAAAATTAACGCCAAGAAATCCATGGCATTTCTATACACCAACAGTGAAACTACAGAAACAGATACTAAAAAAGCAATTCCATTTACCATCGCACCAAAAAAATTAAGATATCTAGGAACAAATTTAACTAAGGAAGTAAAGGAACTATATGCAGAATACTACACGACTCTGAAAAAAGAGATAGAGGAAGATGTAAACAGATGGAAGAACATACCATGTTAATGGATTGATAGAATCAACATCATCAAAATGTCCATACTTCCTAAAGCAATCTATAGGTTCAATGTACTCCCCATTAAAATACCAACGGCATATTTCACTGACCTAGAAAGAATTCTCCAACAGTTCATTTGGAACAATAAAAGACCCCGAATAGCCACAGCAATCCTGAGAAAGAAGAGTAAAGTAGGAGGGATCTCAATACCAGACTTCAAACTGTATTACAAAGCCACTGTTCTCAAAACAGCCTGGTACTGGCACAAGAACAGACAGATAGATCAATGGAATAGAATTGAGAACCCAGATATCAACCCAAATCACTATGCTCAATTAATATTTGTCAAATGAGGCATGTATATATAATGGAGTCAAGACAGTTTCTTCAATAAATGGTGTTGGGAAAATTGGACAGGCACATGCAAAAGAATGAAACTAGATCACTAACTTACACCATACACAAAAATAAACTCAAAATGGATACAGGACTTAAACATAAGACGGGAAACCATAAAAATACTAGAAGCATCCACAGGCAGCAAAATCTCAGACATATGCCAAAAGAACTTCTTCATTGATACTGTCCCTAGGGCAATGGAAGCTAAAGAGAAAATAAACAAATGGGACTACATCAAATTAAAAGCTTTTTTACAGCAAAGGAAACCATCAACAAACAACAAGAAAGCCCTCTGTATGGGAGAACATATTTCCAAATAATACCACTGATAAAGGTTTAATCTCCAACATTTACAAACAGCTTATACAACTAAATAAAAGGAAAATGAATGATCCAATTAAAAAATGGGCAATGGACCTAAATAGAATCTTTTCAAAAGAAGACAGAAGGAAGGCCAAAAGGCACATGAAAACATGCTCAAAGTCACTAATTGTCCGAGAGATGCAAATCAGAACAACAATTCGGTACCATCTCACACCTGTCAGAATGGCCAACATCAACAAATCAACAAACGACAAGTGTTGGCAAGGTTGCGAAGAAAAGGGAACCCTTGTACACTGCTGGTGGGAATGCAGACTGGTGCAACCACTGTGGAGATCAGTGTGGAGTTTCCTCAAAAAACTGAAAATGGAACTCCCATTTGACCCAGTAATCCCACTCCTAGGAATATATCCCAAGAAACTAGAAACACCAATCAGAAAGGATATATGCACCCCTATGTTCATAGCAGCACAACCTACAATAGCCAGAATTTGGAAATAGCCTAGGTGCCCGTCAGTAGATGATTGGATCAAAAAACTTTGGTACATCTACACAATGGAATACTATGCTGCCATAAAAAAGAAGGAATTCTCATCATTTGCAGCAACCTGGATGGAATTGGAGAACATCATGCTGAGTGAAATCAGCCAATCAATGAAAGAGAAAAACCACGTGACCTCACTCGTTTATGGATATTAAAGAACATTATAAACTGATGAACCAAAAGATAGATATAAAGACAGTAAAGCAACAAGCAGACTGTCAAATTACAGTGGGGAGGGGAGGAAGATCTGGGGGAGATAATAGATCAACCGAAGGACTTGTATACATGCATATAAGTACAACCAATGGACATAAAACTCTGGGGAGGGAGGGTATGTAAGGGAGGGAGGGAGGGGGGCAAAAAAAAAATCAATAAAATATATTAAAAAAAAAAATCTCAGGAAAACATTAAAAAAAAAAGTTAACAATATTGTGTTCACTTTGTAGTTTGACAAATGTACCAGGGCCATGTCAATGCCAGCATTAATGGAAATGTGGTAAAGACTATCCTTGTAATTATTCTGTAAATGTAAAATTACTCTAAGATAAAATTATATTTATAAAACATATTGTCAGGGAAGTGAAACTAGTCTGAATGGTACCATAAGCTTAGATACTCATCATTGTGTATATTTATCAAAAACCATAGAATGCAAAACACACAGTGCATGCTAATGTAACAGCTGGCTGTGGCTGATGATGTGTCCAGGTTGGTCCATTGACTGCAAGCAATGCACACACTGACCTAGAGGTGGATGTGGAAGAGACTGTGGGTGGGGAGCGGACCTGTGGGAACTCCATATTTTCTGTTCAGTTTTGCTGTGAACCTATAATTGCTCTAAAAATAAAGTATATTAATGAAAAAAGTAAAAAAAAAAAAAATGCTCAAAGTCACTAATTATCCGAGAGATGCAAATCAAAACGACAATGCGGTACCATCTCACACCTGTCAGAATGGCAATCATCAACAAATCAACAAATGACAAGTGCTGGTGAGGATGCGGAGAAAAAGGAATCCTCTTGCACTGCTGGTGGGAATGCAAACTGGTGCAAGAACAGTATGGAATTTCCTCAAAAAACTGAAAATGGAACTCTCATTTGACCCCGTAACCCCACTCTTAGGAATATATCCTAAGAAACTAGGAACACCAATCAAAAAGGATATATGCACCCCTATGTTCATAGCAGCACAATCTACAATAGCCAGAATTTGGAAACAGCCTAGGTGCCCATCAGCAGATGATTGAATAAAAAAATTTTGGTACAGCTACACAATGGAATACTATGCTGCCATAAAAAGAAGGAATTCTTATCATTTGCAGCACCCTGGATGGAAATGGAGAACATTATGCTGAGTAAAATAAGCCAATCAATGAAAGAAAAACACAACATGATCTCACTCATTTATGGATAATAAGGAACATTATAAACTGATGAACAAAAAGATAGATTCAGAGACAGTAAAGAAACAGACTGTCAAATTACAGCGGGGAAATAAAAGATCAACTGAAGGACTTGTATGCATGCATATAAGCATAACCAATGGATGAAAAACTGTGGGGAGGGAGGGCATGTATGGGAGTTGGGGTTGGGGATTGGTAAGGTATGTACACATATAATACCTTAATTTAAAAAATGAGGGGAAAAATGTAAAAGTAAATAAATTCAACTTATATGGGTCTTTTAAGAACCATTAGCAAAAAAAGTAAAATAAATAAATAATAAATAAAAACAATTATTAGTAATAAACCAACAATATTTGAAATAATAATAAAATCTCAACAACCTTATAAGGTATGTATTAGTAGTCACATTTTACAGATTAAGAAAATGAGATCCAGAGACACTATGTAATTAATCTAAGGATATAAAACTACTTAAGTGATATGTACAAAATGAATTCAGATTTGTGACTTATATTCATGTACTCTCCACTGTACCCAAAATGCCTTGAGTTAACATTACTGATCACATATATTTTTTTGAGTTTAGAATTAAACTGTGTACTATATATAGTACAAATAATCTTTGGTAGTTTCTCAATTATTTCAATGGTGCTTCAGGTAATAGTGAGGAAGTTCTACAGAACATATAGGAAGAAATTCAAATGGAATGAAATGTCTTCTCACTTTTGAATTTCCTATATTATAGCAAAAATGGTATAAAAGTTCCTAACAGAATGCTAGAATTAACCAGTATTTTGAGATGCCTGTTTTAATGTTAACTCCTCACTAGAAATAAACACATAAAAGTATCATATACACAATTGTGTAAGAAAAATTCTTAAAGGCAAAAGTACATTTAAAAATCTGTTACATGTGGACCAGAAAATCTATATATATAAAGAGCCAGGGTCAGTAATGTTACAAAATGACTGAATGAACAACCAAACATAGAAAGGCAGTCCTTCAGAGACCCAGCACTGATGCTGCTGCTGCAGGTGACCCAGCACTGACTGCCAACGGGGCTGCAGATCAGGCCCTGAGAGAGGCCTGGAGAGATCTGTGGCAGCTGTTGATCATCCCTTGCCTCTCTTTCTCTCTGGGCATCGCCAGCATAGGCCCAGAGATCATGACTGGCATAGAAACCAAATAACTAGAACCAAATCTGGGCGAACTGTGAGGAGTCAAATATTGCCTAGCAGGTGGAGCCTTTGACACTGACTGACATAGACATCAACTAATCAGTACCAAACCTGGATGTACTGCAAGAAGCCAATGGCTGCCTAGAAGGTGGAGCTTTTGACGCTGACTGGCATAGAAACCAACCAATCAGAACCTAATCTCGGTGAACTGCAAAGGCAGAACAGAACCTAAGGTGGGGATTGAGGAAGAGTTTTAAAGGCAACAGCTGTTTGGTGTCAAGTGTAAGGAAGTGGTTCAATTTTTTAATGAGTGGTTTGGCAGTATAGCACATATGGCTGGCTATCAGTCAAGATATAGGGATTATATATTTTTGCCTACCAAGAGCATCTCCTCATACTTAAAAAGCTCCCCTCACCCCCATTTAAGTAATCTTATCCTATATAAATCTATCTAAACTAATAAAAGGGTAATATGCTAATTAGACCTGGTCGACCAGCCATCTTCCTGAAGTCCGACTTCCTTCCAGACAAAGCTGTGGTGGCGGGGGCAAAGGCAGAGCCAGTTAGCGGTGATCAGGCTGGCAGGGGAAGATGATCAGGCAGGCATGCGAGCGGTTAAGAGACAGTGGTCCCAAATTGCGAGAGGGATGTCTGACTGCTGGTGGGATCGGGCCTAAACCAGCAGTTGGACATCCCCTAAGGAGTCCCCAATTGGATAGGGTGCAGGCTGGGCTAAGGAACCTCCATGTATGAATTTCCTGTACCAGGCAACTAGGTATGTTATAAAATTTCTAGGTTGTGAAGAAACATACCAACTGCAATTTCCAAATGTATGAACTGAAAGGGCTCTGATAATCATCCATCCCATTTGCCCACTCTATTCAAATAAAATTAGAATGAATATAAAATACATTTTTAAGAAGTTGCAATTAATTATAGAATCATTTCAAGCAGGTTATTGCTATAAAAAATTAAGAATATTTTTAAAGAAAATGTCTCACAAAAACTGTTGGCCCAGAAAGAAACTCACAACAGACTGATTCATATGCTTTTCAGTATAACCAATATTGCTTCTCTTTTTTAATTTTTATAATTATATTACCAGTAGGACATGACCTCACTCATCTAGGGAAAATGATGAACAATATAGATTGATTAACAAGAACAAATCCAGAGATAAGGAGCCATAGGTCAGACTGTTGGGACCTCAAAGGGAGGGTGGGGATAAAAGGGAGAGATCAGCCAAAGGACTTGTGTGCATTCATGAGCCTAACCAGTGGTCAAGGACAATAAGGGGGGTTGGGGACATAAGTGGGAAGGGGTGGGGAATTGGAATGGGGGGTTGAGGACAAATTGTGATACCTTAATCAATAAATAAAATAAAAAAATAAAAAATAAAATGTCTCACTACAAAATTTGCTTTTAAAATTACTGCCCCACCCCAATTTTTCTGTGATTATATTAATATTTTATTAACAATATAAATTATACATTTTAACCACATGTATTGAATATCAATTCTAACCAGCCATCTCTTCCTTTACACATGGTATATGCAGTATGTATAATAATAAATAATTACCTTGAGAATTTAGGGACAAGTTCTTTGACAAGGACCCTTCAAACAATGGTGAGTTCTCAAGATGTTGCATTAAAAGACTTAGGAATTCTTGCTTTGATCCAGGATGCTCTGTTCCAAAATTATCACTTTCATTAACATATGCAACTTCAATTGTGTACGAAGGATTAAACTTTTGATTTCTGAATCCGTTTAAGGCACTATTCCAGATATCGGCTTTGTTGATATATAATCTTTTTGGTTTTTTAATAATTTGAAATCCTAACTCTATAATCATTGTTGAAATGTCTCTCCTAAATCTGTTGCCTTGCCTATAAAACATGAATTTAAACACATAGGTAAATACTCTAAAATGTTTTAAGTGACATGGCAGTATACAATTAAAAAGTAAAAAAAGATTAAAAGTTCTTCCCATCTCTCACCTAAAAGCAGATAATGCTGCCACTGGAACCCAAAACAGTTATTTTATAACTTTAGTTCAAAATTATTGATTCTCTTTCCCCAATCTTCTACCAAATTAGAATAATCTAATGTCAGCTAATTTATGAGAATGCTGATAGATGATTATCTCAAATTTGATCAATTCAGTAGATTTAGGTATAAGAGTCAGAATCTCAAACTCTGACCTTTCTGGCCAATGACTACCACACACTTAACTGTACCTTATTTCATATTTACTAGATCCTTTAAAAAATAAACATAGTCTCTGCTTAATATACAAGAGTACTATAGTTTTAAGAAATTATAATGTATTTTTAACCATAAAGTTAATAGAACTAATATTATAAAGAGAATTTGCAACACTGCCTGTTTTTCCAACTATATTTGGTATTGATGTACTCAAAATGATCCTATTTGGGGCAATGTCATTATCACCTTTATACATCAATTATAAATTTTTCCCATCCTAAGATATTATAATGTCCCAATGTGGGCCAGGCTTTTGTTTTGTTTGTTTGTTTTTTCTTTCTTCACACAACCCCCTACCATATTCATAAACCCAGGTTGAAAAGAACCAAAATCTTTTGGAAAATAATCTTTCAAAAATAAACCATTTTGTTGCAAGTTGATTCCTTGCTCCTGTCTGGAATAGAAATACTATGCTATTCTTCTAGAACATGATGACTTATTAGAGCAGGTGCAAGGACTCAAACTTCTCTGGCATAACATCTTTAGAAACCTAAATATTAAAATTATTTAAAACTAACGTGAACATCTTTTTTATACTAAAAATATTAGTAACAAATTTTCAGTTAATACAATGGTATTTTAAAACAGCAATTCTAAAAAAATAAAAATAAACACCAATTCTTCACTTTATAAATAGTATCACTCCTGGCAAAACCGGTTTGGCTCAGTGGTAGAGCGTCGGTTTGCAGACTGAAAGGTCCCAGGTTTGATTCCGGTCAAGGGCATGTACATTGGTTATGGGCAATCCCCGGTAAGAGGTGTGCAAGAGGCAGCTGGTCAATGTTTCTCTTTCATCGACGTTTCTAGCTCTCTATCACTCTCCCTTCCTCTCTGTAAAAAATCAATAAAATATGTTTAAAAAAAATAGTATCACTCCTATCTTCAAATCTAGTTATCAAATATTTTCACAAAAATTCTCTTGTCCTTCTAAATTTTAACTTGATATAATTTTTAGTAAGGAAGTACTTCCTCATACTTAGCTACTAATATTACTTTTGTCTATTTTTTCCCTATTGGCTACAACAAGGGTCTATGAACTTTTTTTTTTTTATTAAGCCATACATATGCTTAAAAATCATAACTTCAGTTGGACAAATACCTGACATAATATGAAGATGTAATTCTAGTTTTATTTAAATGGTTAAGAGTGATTTTCAAAGTTACTCATTTTGTTGTTTTATGAAAGTTAGGCATTAATAAAATAATACTTGTCAGTATGCCTTAAGCTTCCTAAACAAATGACATTTTATCTGAGATTTACAGTGAATACATTAAGCAAATGATTACAAAATCTAAAAATTAACTATATTAAATATATTTCCTTCTTTTAACAAAGTAACATGATATTCATGTTATTTAATTTCCTGTCTTACTCTATAACCAAATAACAGTTTAAGCACATTTTCCAAATCTGTTTTTAAAATATTTTAAAAATTATATAAAATAAAAATGTGTTTTACATCGTGAGTCCATATACAATTAAATACTAAAATTAGCCAAAACCGGTTTGGGTCAGTGGATAGAACCTTGGCCTGCGGATTGAAAGGTCCCAGGTTGGATTCCAGTCAAGGGCATGTACCTTGGTTGCAGGCACACTCCCAGTAGGGGGTGTGCAAGAGGCAGCTGATCAATGTTTCTCTCATTGATGTTTCTAACTCTCTATCCCTCTCTCTTCCTCTCTGGAAAAAATCAATAAAATATATATTTTTAAAAATACTAAAATTATTTTACATACATTCTTTCTATTTGTAGTGCAATATGATACTACTTTATATTCTAATCTATCCTGTTTCACTTTCTTCTTTAAATGCTGGTTGCATGATTTCATGATCAAATGTTGGGTCCTGTTGTTTGAAAAACATTCTTTCAGGCTACTGTAAAGTTCAGCTAGTATTCTAAGTGTATACAGTCACTTCCTATTCACTTTCTCAGAATAGAATTTTATATTTTTTTCCAATTCAAAATACATACCTCATTAGATCTTTTTGCTGGGCTCCAGGTGACTGTCTGGATGACTTAGGTGATGATTCTTCCAACAAGCAATCATTTATTTCAACATTGTTAGTGTTGGATAATGTATGTTTTTTGGCTTTTTGGAAATCTCCTGCAGATTTAAAATCCAATGTGAGCATAACAGAATTTAGGTAGAAACTTTTAAATAATATGTATTTGAATAAGAACATCCTTATTCAAAATTACAAAATGTTACCTGAGTTGTAGGTAATACCTCTACAGTCCAAACACTCCCAATTTTGTTCCCACGATTGTAGTGAGGAACAGGCTAAATGTGTCCCACTAGAACCACAAGACTGACAACGCTTTATTTCCCATTTGCTGAGGAGATAAAGGAAAGCAAGTATTGACATTTTGATATTAACTTAGGCAAATTCCCACATTGCCACAGGCCTCACTGTTCACCTCACACACAAAACCAACCCAAACGAGGAAAAATAGATTATCTTCATTGCTACGGCATTACTTTTTTTTAAAGCATATTTTTCTATTTCATTATTTATGTTTATAATCTTCTCCTTTAAATATTCTCTAAGTATCAACATGTATATGAACATGTACATACAACAAAGAATGTAAACATCAGAAAGAATAGGATTAAAGAAGGAAAAGAATCTTTATTTTATATTTGGCAATTACTATGCCAGTGTATCTGATATGGAAGAGGCATTCAGTAAATATCTGACCTTACCTAAAATATTATCTTTCTCATCTAAGATGAGGAATTATTTCCTACAAAAAGCTTGCTGAGACAATTCAGGTATTGTGCAGCTCCTCGGGACCCAGACTTGTTCCAGGCCCATATTTGTTCTCTCTCTTATCTGTTTCCTCCCACTTCCCATCCACTGTATTGCATGTGTGCAAGTACATATTTACATTTTCTGTACGAGTGTAGGTAGGGATTGTCATGTGTGGCCCCTTCTGGACATGCCCTTGACTGGAATCAAACCCGGTACCCTTCAGTCCGCAGGCCGACACTTTATCCACTGAGCCAAACCGGTTTCGGCTAATAACCATATTTAAAAGGTAAAATAAATAGGTGCACTCAGCTGGTGTTGCTCAGTAGTAGGCATCCACCTATGAACCAGGTGGTCACAGTTGGATTCCTGGTCAGGGCACATGCCCAGATGTGGGCTTGATTCCCAGTAGGGGGCATGCAGGAGGTAGCTGATCAATGATTCTCTCTCTCTTTCTCTCTCTCTCTCCCCTTCCTCTACCTTCCTCTTTGAAATCAATAAAACTTTTAAAAAAATAATTTAAAAATAAAATAAGTGCAATGAATCTGAATGAGTATTTCTAAAATATCATTATGTTAAATAAGTAATCAATATGAAATTATTAAGATGTTTTCACTTATTTTTTCTTAACTGTTATAGGCTAGATTGTGTCTACCCAAAATTCATGCATTGGGAGTCCTAACACCCACTACCTCACAATGTGACTCTGTTTGGAGATAGGGCCTTTAAAGAGATAATTAAGATAAACTGAAGTCATATGTGGACCCTAATCCACTATGTCTAGACATAGAAAGAGGGACAATCATATGAAAATATAGCCAAGAAGGGAGTCATGTGCAAGTCAAGAAGTTTCAGAAGTCAAATCTGTGGATACCTTTATCATGGACTTCTAGCCTCTAGAATTGTGAGCAGTAGAAACAAACTTTTATTACTTAAGGCATCTAGTTTGTGGTATTTTGCATGGCAGCCCTAGTAAACTAGGATACATACTATGTCTTCAGTGTGTATTTGGGAATAGCCACACTTCAAGTGTTCAAAAGCGACATGTGCCTAGTGGCTACCGTATAGAACCAGTGCAGCACTAGAAAATAGAGCCTCACAAAAATGCACCAAGAAAATAAGTTGCAATTATGCTGAGTGTTATAACTTTTCTGTAAACAGATGTAAATATACATTTAATAAAATTAAAACTTCAAACATCTTAAGAGCAAATATATTTCACTAACTATAACTCTGCTTTCTAAGCTGAAGGTTGCAATAAGAATACGAATAAAGAACAACTGAACTTCCTGGTATACCTATTAGGCACATTATAGTCTCGACCTTCCTTGCAACGACATCTTCGTACATCGCAATGCTCATAGTGCTGCAGAAGCTCTTGATAAGCATTTTCCTCTAATTCCCAAGATGCATCTCTGTAAATGAAGCAAGACGTAAAATATACTTTGATCTAAAACGTTACATAAAAGGATCGGTAATGAACTTAAAAATAAAAACTTTTCACATAATAGTACTCAGGAATGAGGCTAAAATTTGTTTTTTTAAGATTAATCATTCTCTTCAAGATACAATTCCTTTAGTGTCATTTTAGCCTACATGTAGTCTCACAGCGAATTTTCAAATGCTAACTGAAAATTTAAGAAGAAATTTTCTAATTCACATATTTAACATTTCACTTCCATTTACCATTATTTTGGGATTCCTCACCTTTAAGTACTAAAAAAATTCTGATCAGACATTTAAAATCACATCTTGATTCTCTTAATTTATACATATCATTTTGAAGCCTACTATACTTGTATATAAATCAATTAACATTACATACAACTAAGGTGTTTATTAAGAGACTACAAATCAACTAATGAGAATTTAAGTCGCAGTCCCTGCTCTCAAGAACTAGCAATCTGGGGGGAAAAAGGCGGTGGAAGGGGCTGCTTTACATTTCCCCATTTGAAGTTGCTGCTTCTCCATTATTACATAATCAGACATAAATGACTATTTATTCTGCTATTGAATCCTATTTATAAAATATCTTTTGTCAAAAATATTACTCACTTTTCAGGAATATGAATTCCCATTCTCAACATCTCTTTCTGAAATATGTCGTTATTATTGCATACTGTGCACCTAAAGAAAAACACTCCTGCATTTATTGCTTGAATCTGGAGTAAAAAAAATAGAAAATCTATTAACTTAACAATATATTAGGTTATAAACTTTATAACTTATAGAACATGTGTTACTTTTCACTCAACATATAATGAAATCTTATTTTGTGCACTAATGGTTCTCAAACTTTGATAAACTAAGTTATCCCACTGCTAAAATGTGGAGGTCTTTTTCCCAATGGCAAAAAAACTTAAGCTAATGAATTCACTGTTTTTATCTTTACTATATATTCACCCATATATTCTTCTTAACCTTTGGTGTTTAATATCATTTCTGTTCCCAAATATTGTGTTGGCCATGTCTGTGAATAAAATAGTAAAAATCTTGAGTTGCTTCATCTAGGAAATATAATTAAATAAGTGCTACATAAAAAGTATCCTTGGTTCTATTTTTAACTCACTCTGTTAGTTTTCTTCTTAATAGGGGAGAAGCATAAAACCTAGTCTCATTCTTCAGTTACTATAAATACAAAAGCAGCAGGCAAAGGAGGGTATGCAAAAGGGAACAGAAAACTATCACCGTACTAAAAAGAGTAGCCAATACCCAGTAAAAAATACCACAAAACTAACAGCACACCTTCATTAACAAATATCTACTAGTAATCACTACTATATGGGCCCCAAATACTATGCTATGTACCAAAAAACAGAAATATAAAATGATTGTGAGTAGGCACAGAGAATACAATTCTAATATAGTGTACAAGTTTGTGTGTGTGTGTGTGTGTGTGTGTGTGTGTGTGTGTGTGTTTAAAGTATATACATGGAAGAGAAAGGAAGAGGTACCTCAGTCTATATAAGAGCCTAACAAAAATGTCACATGGATGATAAGGTCAAAGCTAATTTTGGAAGACATAGGAGTCTGCCAGAAAAATGGGACAAAAGACATTACAAAACTAGAAAATAGCATATATCAAATTAAGTGGTAATAGTAACCACGTGTAATTAGAAAACTAATTAATATACTTAGGGATGACATGCTGGCCATAGTAAACTAAATAAGGAGGCTAAACATGTAAATCAAAACCTCTAGTGTGAAAAAATTACAGGAAATAAGGCATGCAGGAGAAAGACCAGTTCAGTAGGTTCCTACAAAAATCTAGTTAAAATAGAGAGAACAGCAACAAAAAAGTGTACACAAATTATTTATTAGGTAGATCTGACAGACTTGGATTGGGGGATCATTTTTGGATGGTGAAGAACAAGTGAACAAATAGGAACACAGGTTCAAATTACTACCAAGTAAAACACACACACACACACACACACACACACACACACACACACACACGTTAGGAAAGCAACAAGTTTCTGAAATCTAAACCTAAAGGGTCGGCAAACAAATACAAAAAGTAAGAGTGTAGTATGGAGGAAAAAACACCAGAGGCCATATGGAAGATACCAAGACCAGAACAATGAAGGAGAAATCCAAAATGAATAAGAATAATGACAATTCTCTACATAGCCAGAGTGAAGTTTCCATTAATTTTAATATGTTTTTATTAACATTTTTATTTTTATTTTTTAGAGAGGAAGTGAGAGGGAGAGGAAGACAGAAACATCAATTGGCTTGGCAGCCTCCTGCAGTCCACATCAGGGATCTAGCTTGCAACCCGGGACTGGGAATCGAACCCACCTCTTGGTGCATGAGTCGATGCTAACTTAGGCACACTAAGTTAGGGGTCCATTAATTTCTTTTATATCAACCTATAGTCTCTTCTTCACAAAATTCCAATGTATATAGCATTTGTAGTGGTAAAAACAATTAAATTTTTGCATACTACTTTTTTTCAAAATTTTGCATTCTATTGCATAGGTTTTTACTTTGACTCTTTTATATTAATGAAGTTCAGATATTTAAAATAATTATTCAGATATTATTGTCGCTATCTAGATAGGGCAGATTCCATTTATTATTTCATTAAGACTCTAGTACTACGGTGGAAAAGCCACTGTAGCTCCTATAGAGAATATGAACTCCAGTCAAGAAACAATTGCTTATTAATACTTATATAAGAGACAAGTATCCATGTGGCTATATTTTTGTTGTTATTTAATCCTTATTCAAGGTTATTTCTCCCATTGATTTCCCCCTCTCCTTTTTTTTATAGAGAGTGAAATGAAAGGGAAGGTTGGTGCGTGAGAGAGCAGCATCAATGTGAGAGAAACACAGCGATTGGTTGCCTCCAGCACAAACCTCAACTAGGGCCGGTGATGAAACCAGCAACCCAAGTACATGCCCTTGACCTGGAATCAAACCTGAGAGCCTCTGGTGCACAGCCAATACTCTATAACCACTGAGCAAGAACCTACAACCAAGATTAATCTACCCAGCAAAGTTATCATTCAGAATTAAGGTCAGATAAAGAGCTTCACAGATAAGAAAAAGCTAAAGAAGTTCACCGCCAAACAAGTATTATATGAAATGCTGAACGGTACTCTTTAAAAAGAGGAAGAAGAAGAAGAAAAAGGTAAAAATAAAAATTATGAACAATAAATACATATATATCAACAAGTGAATCTAAAAATCATGTTAATAAAAATATGATGAACAGAATAATCTTGTGAATATAATAGAATCAGGGGCATAGAAAGGGAGTGGACTGACAATTCTCAGGGGGGAAGAGGGTGTGGGGGTGCGGGAAGAGACTGGACAGAAATCGTACACCTATGGATGAGGATGGGGGGGGAGGGTAATGGACATAAGATGGGGTGGGAACCAGGTGGAGGCGAGTTATGGGGGGAAAAAGAGGAACAATTGTAATAATCTGAACAATAAAGATTTATTGAAATAAAAAAAAAAAAGTTACAAGTATCGATAGTATGAGCTAACATACACATTAATTCTTTCCAATTTTAAATTTAAATCAGCAAGCAACAAATTTTATATCAGAAAAAGCTTCTAAAACATCTTACCTGTAAACAGTCTCTATGAAACCAAGCATTCTTACAACAAGGACTTCGTAATATGCTATAAGTTGGAACAGGCTCAATAAATTCCAAGCAAATGGTGCATGGTAAGGAGTCTCTATAATTATTAGGTGTAATTATTTGAACAGGTCGATGGTTCCAACAAAATGACCTAAATTATTTAAAATCAACATCTAATAAATTACAAAGCATAATTAGGATAGCATTACAATTCACATTTATAAGAGAAACTTCATTTCTATCTCTCTCATAATTAACCTACAACAGACTGGATCTTTGGCATTATAAGTCAGTTTCACAATCTATGACCATGTTTTACTGAACTTTCAAAATGTGGTAAGCCTTTCCTCACAGAATCTCAGCAACTAATATTATGTTGAGAATTCTATATAAGATTATTAGCAACAGAATATACACACCATTGTATTAAACACTGCACAAAATTAAAGTAACTTAACATTTAAATATTTAATCATATAACAGATAAAATAAAAATAACTTATTCCTAACCCACTAAATTTATTTCCATTTGTATTATTTAAATGCAGTTTTCTTTTTACATAGTAAAAATTCATTAAATTGGTCAAGATCATAAGGACTAAAAGAAATAGAATACTCATATCTAATATCAAAATTTATAAAAATTTTATGTTTAAAGCTAGATTCAAGAAGCAGTATTTTTAGGAGCATCCCAGGGGAGCAATATTTACTTTTTTGCATTCCAAATTTATATGCCTTCAGTTTACACTAGGAGAAGTAAATATGGCTCCACGAAAGAAAAGTGAACTATTACTGGTAGATCTAAAGATACAAAAATCTAAAATTATATAAGGTAAAAATTTCCATTGACTGAGTATACATTAACAGTTCCAGATTATACTCTAGAGTTAAAAGTTAAAGGTAAATAAGCCCATTTCAGATATGACTATTCTTAAGACTTTGCAGACAGAAATGACTCCATAGAAGAGGCAAATCTCAAGACTGTCCAGATAGGAATGACTACACATATACATCCCCCTCTCCCCCGTCACCCCCCTCTTCCTCCTCCCTCTCTCCCACTCCCCCTTCTCTCTCTCTCTCCCCCCTCTCTCTTTCTCTTTCTCTCTCTCTCTCTCTCTCTCTCTCTCTCTCTATATATATATATATATATATATATATATATATATATATATATAAAATCACACACACTGTAGAAACTCAATGCAGCTTTGAAAAAAAATTAACAAAGGAATTATATAATTGGAATATCCATATTCATTACTAACTTTTCTTTAACCATCATCTTTCACACATTCAACAGTTAACTCACGCAAAATTGCCAGTGAACTGGAAAATACACTCTTTCTGAAGTCCACACGGGAAATGATAACTTCGTTTACATCGAGGTGCAACACATCCAATTGAAGCACCATTTTTCTTACAAATACAACATTTCTAGAAGAAAAAAAAAAAGAATAGGGCATAACATAGAAAAACTGAGCACCATACTATGACCAAGGTATAAATAAATATTCCTTTTGAGGAATCTGAAAATTAATAGGGTCATATAGCAAATAGCTGTGGTGATAGTATATTAAAGAAATATCCTGAAAATTTTTTCTACCCAGAAACAATGTAGAGACACTAAAGATTCACTCCTATAATAATTTCTGATATAGGAAACATCTGTAACCTAATATGTGAATGAGAAAAAGAAGTTTCACTCAAATTTCCAATGAAAACACATAATTAGGAAATACTCACCAAGGAAAATAGTAATAACAATATTAAAAGCCAACCTGTAAAAAGAAATGGCTAGGATCACTCTATCCTAACAACAACAACAAAAAAGTATTAGATACTTATAATAAGTTAAATAGTGATCCCTAAAAAGATATATTCAAGTCTTAATTCCTGATACCTGAATGAACGTGATCTTATTTGGAAATAGGGTCTTTGTAGAAGTAAGTTAAGGAACTAAAGATGAGATTATTCTGGATTTAGAGGGGTCCCTAAATCAAATGACTGATGTCTTTGGAGGGGGAGATTTAAGACACAGACACAGAGAGAGGAAGACCATATGAGGATGAAATTATTTCTATTCAGAGCACTTGGAGACCCACAGTCCTTTCCTAGCACATCATCTAGTAGCTATCACAGAGTAGATTCTCATATTATAATGAAAAGAGAGAGGAGTTAAAAGTTTAGAATACTTATTTTGGAGAACAGGAGAAAGCACTGAACACAGCACACAATGTCACAGAGGGGCCACAGAGCTGTGGAGATCACAAACTACTGGTCTTCATACTTGTGTAATTTTTACCTAAAGCCATCATTTCATCCCAACAACTGAGGTAGAAGAATGAAAAGTGAATGGCTTGATGACTCAGGATTGAAGTTTGAAGAACAGTGAGTAGAAGTGTGTCTATAATTCTGATGGTAAATGTGGGTGAAATGATGGGTTGGTTGGAATAAGATAAGGAAGTGAAAATCAATATTGTCAAATATATTATCCAGGGGCGGTTATGTTCCCTTTCACTTGCAAAAATACAAATGCTCTAAATTCACCATATTTGACAAAAGCAAGCACTGGAACATAAAATCAAAGTCTTAAAAATTTCTAGTGGAGAAAGTGATAAAGAAGACTTCCCTAGTATTAACAATATTTATAGTATTTACTATAATGAGTAAAATAATTTACTTACCAATTTAGAAGCTCTATTCACTTCTTTTCTTATGTCTTCTATTAGGAAACCATAAACTCCTTCTTCTTCTTTACCTCTCTGCCAAATTCCACTTGACATCAACTATAAATATGTTTTCAATTAGAAAATAAACTCTAAAAAACTAGTTTGGAATAAAAATTATTTTACCCATAATATTTTAATAATAAAACAGCTAGAATTTCAAGTACCTTTTACCTATAATAGTTCTATTTTTTTATGATCAAAGTAAGAGTCTACTCACATTTTCTTTTTTTGAAAGGCACTGTATATTAATAGTTCAAATAACCAAACTAGTTTCTAAAATATTTCAGGAAATAACAGACAAAGGAAGAAAGAATGGAAGGAAAACAAAAAATACCTATAATTTTTATGGGAGAAAAGTGGTAAATATTGAAAGGTGTAAATGTACTAACAGTAAATACTAGGGAGGTAATATAGATTATTAGTGATATTTCAGGCTAGATGTAAACCTAAATCATATTAGGCATATTTACAGGGAAACCTATTGAATTATAATTAACATAATGTTTATTAAATTTTTAAAAATCTGATTTTTAACTTTAGTTTAAACATGTTAAAGAAGCATGAATCAAGAAAAATCATGGGGCTGTGAAAAAATAAGTCCTGGCTTGCAAACCAGGCTCGAATCCAACTTTCTGGAACCCTCAGCAAGTAATTTAATATGAATGACCTTAACACAAAAATAAAAACACCGGACTAGATTATCAATAAGTCACTTTCAACTCTAACATTCAATTGCCACTGGTAACATTACTTGTTCACAGTGAAATAGAATCTTTACATGTTGGCTTTAAGGTCAGTATCTTTTTGAATTATTATACAAGAGAATATAAAAAATTTAATGTGATCAACTTAAATATATATAAATATTACAAAAATACTTCAAAGTATTGACAATATCAAAGTGCTTAAATAGGCTTAATCAATATAGTATCTGCTAAAGAAAACCAAGTGATATACATTACTTAGTAATTAGTTATGAGAGAAAAATAGACTAATAAAATAGCCCTCTTAATTCTATATAAAAACTAAAATAAACTCTTAGAAAAATGAAAAAGTTTCCTTGTGTTATGTAAAATATAATAAATCCCAATTTACAAAAAAAAAAAAAAAAATGGAATGCCAATGTTGTTTTCTTTACTCTTGCTATAAAGGAATTAGGTCCTTAGGCCAGTCTAGAAGTTTATTTAATCCATAGGGTAATCGAGACACAAAACTAGTCTTACAGAACCACCAAGGAATATGTTATATGTTTTCTCAAGGAAGCATCTAAAGAATTTTACATGAATACTGTGGTAGGCTTAAAAATATGTCCCCAAATTAGTTGATACTCTTTCCTTTAAAAAGTGGAGTCTAACTTAAAGTGATTTAACACTTAATAACTTGCTTCTAACCAAGAGCACAAAGCAAAAGTGACAGTGATATGTGACTGTGAAGACTAGGTCACATGATTCCATGTTGGTATATCTATCTATCCCCTCTTTCTTTTTCTTCACTTGCTCTGGAAGAAGCCAGATTACATGCTGTGAACAAACCTAAAGAGGTACCCAGAAAATAAGAATTTAAGACACAGATTCAGTGAGTCAAGAAATTGTTGGAGGGAATGGGAAATAAATTAGACTAATTTTCAGTGTGAAATTATTTTTTTCTTTTCTTTTTAGTGACCCACCTGAAAATTAACTTATTTCCTTTTCTACAAATATTTATTACCTTTAGTCAGAAGGTTAGGCAAAAATAAATAGGCAATGATGGCAGATCTTTAAAATAAGCCAAGTAATTACAGAATGTTAGAATTTGAAAAATGAAAATCTTATTTTTACATATAGGCAAAATTAGAGCCAGAAAAGTTAAATGACTTATCTAATTCTCAGAAACCAATCATCAGGATCTAATTCTCTTCTTTAGAAGAACATCAAATTTCTAAGATTTACTTATAAATTATACTCACCAAACAATAGTAATGTACAGTGAGATTCCATTGCTCATTAATTTTCTTTTCTCCATATTTATTAGGACAATCATCATTTTTTCGACAGAAAACACAAGCTAACAGTGAAAAAGTAAATTAGATAGGAAAAATATTTTGTAAATTTTCAAAAAAAAAAAAAAAACAAAACCAACCCTATGGAATTAGTGCCTTTTTAAATTGATGTGTTTAATTCTTTCTGCATGAGCAAATCAAATCTTATTGTTGTCAGTACCTTAAAATTTCAACAACTACTTCTAAAATAATGTGACTATATTTTATTCATTAATCTTTAATGATGAATTCCAGTATATAGTTAAAATGGAAACTTGCAAGGTAACATCATGAAAACAATGGATTAGTAGTCTTCAAAACCTCATTAAAGCAATGATTAAGCTGCCAAAAACTGTCAAAATCAAATTTTCAGAAACTAAAATCTTACAATTAGAAGGATCCTATATAAGAGCCCAGCGACCATAACGGCAGAATGACCAGACCAACTGCTAGACCAGTCACTATGAGGTGCACTGCCTGCCTCTTGGTCTCCTTCCCCGCCTGGCAGGCTACCAGTACACGATGGCAAACAGGGACCCAGAGGTGGGTAGCGGAAAATGCGGGCAGCACAGGGCCAAGGCCCCCGCCCACCAGCTGCCCCCTACATAGACGGTGACCCATGTTGGGGATGTGGCCAGCAAGTGGGCAGGAAGAGCCCACCTCTCGGTCCCTCTCCCCGGCCATCAGGCTCCAATCACCCATGACAAACAGGGAACCAGGGTGGGCGGTGGCAGGGGTGGGACGAATGGCCAGCAGCGGGGAAGGTGGTCCTGATTGCAGGCTAGGCCTAGGTACCGTACCCGAGTATGAATTTCATGCACCAGGGCTTTACTGCTTAATAAAGAAGTAAGTTGCTATATTTTGATGAGAATTTTATGGTATTTTAACTCACCCACCACCTCCCACCTCCCGGTCTCCAGCTGGGCAATGGCCTTAAGTTCAATGGCCCATGTTTCTGATGTGGATTGTCCAAGAGGAGGTTATATAGACTTTGTTCTCAAAGAAACATTACTGTTTGTTTTGACCTGTGTAGAGGCTCCCTGAGGAAATGGGCTCAGATTCTTGCCTTTGTTTTGCCTACATCAGAACTTTCTCAGGGCTGGAGTCTGCCATTATCAAAAGCATTTAGACAAATAGCTACAGCAGCTTGAAACAAAGGATAACTGACAGGATGAGTAGGAGACAGACTAAAAAGCCTAGGAAAGAAGAGGCTGGAAATGGGGGATATGTAGGAAAATAATAGCTTTGAAAAGTTCCCACATATAGTGAGGGAATGTGGGACACACACATGCTCAGGAAAAACCCAGAAACTAAGCTTCCACCTCTGCCTGGTCAGGAGGCTTATGAAAGCCTCTCTCAAATCAAATTTAATTTTAACCTTAAGGAGGAGGAGGAGATGAGGAAGAGGAAGAAAAAAAAGAGTGAAGTAAGCCCAAAACTAGCAGAAGAGAAGAAATAATAAACATTACAGCAGAAATAAATGAAAGAGGAAAAAAACAATAAAATCAATAAAAGCAAAGTTGGTTCTTTGAAAAGGTCAACAGAACTTTAGACTGAATAAAAGAGAGAAAACTTTAGATTCATCTAGAAAAAAAAGAAAGAAGACTCAAAATTTATGACAAGGATACAAAAATCAAAACAGTGTGGTATTGACATAAGATAAATGGAAAGATATATAGACGTATAAGTAAATAGAAAAGAAGAATCCAGAAACAAACCCATACATTTAAGATCAATTAATTTTGAACAAGGATGCTAAGACAATTCCATGGGAAAAGAAAAGTCTCTTCAACAAATAGTGATGGCTGGCTTTTGCCAGGTAGTTCACTTGGTTAGGGCACTGTCTCAATCCACAAACGTTTCAGTTCTGATATATACAAGAAGCAACCAATGAAACAATAAATGCATGGAGCAACAGAATGATGTCTCTCTCTCTCTCTCTCAATCAATCAATCAAAAAAATATTTTAAATAGTGCCTGGACAACTGAATAGTCACATGCAAGATAATATAATCACACCCCTTCCTAACGCCATATACAACAATTAAATTAACTCAAAGCAGGTCCAAGACCTAACTGTAAGAGTCAAAACTACACAACTCTTAGAAGAAAATATAGGGGTAAATCTTCATAACCCTGAATTTGGCAATAGTTCCTTATATGTCACAAAATACTAAAAACAAAATTAATCAAAGAAAATAAAAATTAAACTTCTTTAAAGTTTAAAACATTTGTTCATCAAAGGACAATAACAATAGAGTAAAAAGATAATGTACAGAATTAAGAGAATATATTTGGAAATCATACACCTGTTAAAGGTCTAGTGTCCAGAACGTCTAAGAAAGAAAAATACAATCCAATTTTATTTTTTTTTTAAATATATGTATTTTATTGATTTTTTTACAGAGAGGAAGAGAGAGTGATAGAGAGTTAAAAACATCAATGAGAGAGAAACATCGATCAGCTGCCTCTTGCTTAACCCCTACTGGATATGTGCCCACAACCAAGGCACATGCCCTTGACCGGAATCGAACCTGGGACCCTTCAGTCTGCAGGCCGAAGTTTTATTCATTGAGCCAAACCGGTTTCGGCACAACCCAATTTTAAAATGGGGCAAAAGATCTGAATAGACATTTCTCCAAGGAAGATATATGGTCAGTAAGCACATTAAAAGATGCTTAATATCATTGTTCATTAAGAAATACAATCTTAAACCACAATGAGATGCCACTCCACACCCACTAGGATGGTTATAATAAAAATGTAATAACGGCCTAGCCCAGTGGTCGGCAAACGGCGGCTCATGAGCCACATGCAGCTCATGAGCCACGGTTTGCCACTCTGTTGACTAATGAGTTTGCCGACCACTGCCCTAGCCGGTTTAGCTCAGTGGATAGTATCAGCTTTCAGACTAAAAGGTCCCAACTTTGATTCTGGTTGCAGATTCAATCCCTATCCCTGGCCAGGGTGCATGCCAGAGGCAATAAGTTGATGTAAGATGTCTCTCTCACATGAATGTTTCCTTCTCTGTCTCTCCCAGACCTACTCTCTCTAAAACGTGAATGGAAAATTATACTTGGGTGAGGATTAACAACAACAAAATAACACAGTAACAATCATTTATATAATCATTAATATAATAGAGGAATATGCAAATTAGCTGGGACACCATAACATTATAACCGAATAGTAGGGACCTGAGGCTGCATGGTGCTTTTGGCCAGGGTGAGGGAACTCAGGCCGCACATCTCACCCACGGGGCTTGACAGAAGACCTCAGGCCACGTCCCCCTTGATGAGATCCCGAGACTGTGCTCCCCATCCAGTGCCAGGCAGGGGGGAACCTGAGGCTGGGGCCGGTTGGGTCTGGGTCTCCTTTGTTTTCAAAGCATGTGCAGGTGGTGGGCGGGGGGACTTGACTCTGGGTCCTGAGGCCTGCCCCAGACTCTGACAGGAGGGAGATTTTCATAAACATTTTAATAATTTTATTTAATCTCTAACACTTCTATTATACAGAAAGGGCAAATAGCAATATTAAAATATTTCCTCTAATTAATTCCCTTTTAATGTGCATGAATTTCGTGCACCGGGCCACAAGTTAACAGATAATAAATGTTTGGAAGGCTGTGGAGAAACAGGAACCTTCATGTACTGCTAGTGTACATGCAAAATGGTATATTTATTTTGGAAAATAACCTGGCAGGTACCCATAGTACAAAAAAAAAAGTTAAATATAGTTACTGCACAGTACAACAATTCCATTCCTGGGTATACATGCCAAAAATATAAAAAATAAATATACAATCAAATATTGGTATACTCAGGTTCACAGCAGCACTGTTCACAATAGCCCCCCAAACAAAGGGGGGGGCGGAAGGAGACAAACGTCCATTGATAGGTCAATGAATAAACAAAATACAGTGTATCCATTCAATGGAATATTATTCAGCTATAAAAAGGAATGAAGTTCTGATACATACAGCATGGCTGAGTCTTAAAACATTATGCTAAGAAATAATCCAAGCACAAAAGGTTACATACATGATTCCATTTATATACTAGATTTCATTATCCAGAATAGGTATATTACAGAGAAGGATAAAAAACAGACTGATGTTTCCCGAGGAAATGAGAAGTGACTACCTAATGGGTATAGTTTCCTCTGACGGTGATGAAAATATCTTAGAACCTAGTGATGGTTGCACAACATTGTGTATGTACTAATACTACCAAATCTTACATTTCAAAATAGTTAAAATGGTGAATTTTCTATTATGTGCATTTTATCACAATAATAACCATTTTAGAAGGAAGTTTGAGCAGCTCAGCTCTAAGCAAGAGCAATTTTAAGGTGCTCACTCTGGCTATCCTGTGCACTGTTTCTGGCTTCCGAGGAAATTTGGACAGAAACTGAGGGTCCCAGCAGGGGCATACTGAACTTCCGTGTCTGCATGACTAACTTAAGCTTTACTGGACTTCATTACACTTTAAGCCACATCTAGGAAGAGCCTTATACACATCAAGTTTGCTGATGGCGGTATGCAAAAAATGCTACACGGCCATGAACTACCGCTATAAATGACAACATGGATGAATCTTATGAGCTTAGCGATGAACAAAAGAAGACTTCAAGTCAGTTATTACTCTTGGGAAGGAGTATGAGGACAGCAACAAGGATGACTTCTGGGTGCTGTTTCCATTCTACTTTTTGTTCTGGAGGGTGGTTACACAGGATGACCCTAATTATTACCCTGAGGAGTTTGTAATTTATTTGGGGTACAAATAGGAGTCAATGGAGATTTGTGAATTGGCAGAGGTATGACCAAAGATGTGTTATTAAAGAAAACGGAGAAAGACTATAATAATTTAGAGCAACTGAGATAAAGACACTCACAAGTGGCCAAAGGAACTATTTAAGTACAAGACGGTGCTGCTGCCAAGCCATTTTATCAATGTGTCTTGATATAACAGTCTTATCCAAACTTCCAAATATCTCACTGAAAATGCCTCAAAACAAACAAAATTGT